AAACTTAAGATTTTGCGGACAAATCCCACTCCAAACAGCGTATAAACCATACACTCATTACATTCGTTCCTGGTATATGTCAATTTGGGTTATTTAACCCGAATCAAAATAAATTTTATCTTTTTAATTATTATTGCTAAAGCCAGCCAATTTATCATAAATTAGCCGGCTTTAATAAAATTTATTTTAATTACAATAAAAATGATTCAAAATTCGTAATTCTGATTGGATGAATTCCAATGTCACGGTATGAAATGATCTACAAAAATTGGCCAATCAGAACGAAGTTCTCTATGCTTGTGGGCCAAAAACTAATCCCGGCCCGGCCCGCAAATTTCCGTGCTTAGCCCGGCCCAAACCGCACCCTACTCGTGGGAATACATGCCTATCTACGCGATCGTTTATACTATGAAATCATATTATATTACTTTTACCACACTTATGCAGAACGTCCGTACAGAATTATATATATGTAAAGTTGTGCAAACTTAACATACATTTAATGTATTAGCTATTATTAACTAAAAATTTCTGATCACATTCGTGATACGTATATTTATTGAATACACTATTAAAACAGCTCTTTATAAATGTAAAGCTTTCATCCGATAACCTTATGTTAGTCTATATGCTAATTCATGAATGTTCTAATAAATGAATATCATCTTGCAGGAGTACCACCAGCACTACTAGTTGTATCACCCCCATTACTCCTCCTTTGTACAATCTTTCTCTTAATAAAAGCCTTCACACGATCATGGCCCGCTTCGGCAATTCCAATCATTCTTTTCGAATCGTTTGACCAAACTACTACTCCCAAAGTGTTTGCATGTTTTAGAACAACTTCATAATCAGCGAATGTACGAAAATCTTTGTATAAGTAGCCTAAAATCGAAAATACTGTTAGTAAGCAAAAAACATTACGAATGGACCAAATATCCTCTAACATACAATCAGTAATAATCAGTCGATTGAGTTCCATTTCCCATAATTGAATTTGGTCAACTACAGTTGCCGGTAACAAAGCTGGGCGTTTTTTCATTTGTGGATGAGCATGTGATGTTAGATACGATATAATCTTTTTAACGTAATATTGTTATAATTAATCATTAGAGTTCATAGAATCAAAATCACGTATTCCTTGAAATTAACCTACTTGACTTGCAGTAATACCATGTTTCAATGCTTTTCTTACACTATCTCGAGTTATTTCAGCGGTCACCATATTAGAAAACTGAAACTGAAGATTGCAAAATAAGTTTAACACCGAAATTTGTAATTGTGAACCTATCATTAATGAAAAAAAAAGTTTGTATACGTAATAATATTATGTGAAAATCATAATGGATTCATTTGATTACTTGTGTAGGCATATAATTTATAATTGGTTTCGACAATAATAAATCCTTGTTCTGTGGCGCTATCATCATCATCTGCAGGATTATTAGACGCTGCATTTGATACAATGGCTGAGTTTCCTGACGTTAATGTAGTAGCAAGACGTGTCGGATAATATCTCTTTGAGCTTTTCTATTCATTTTGTAAAAAATGTAAACTCGTTATGAAATGTTCAGATACAAGTTTGGTTTACTCTATTTACCAACATAATATTTGCACGAATTATTAAAAATATAGTTATTTACTTTGGGTCTATAGATAAGTCCATAATTAGTTAAGTCATCAAGTAATTGTCGTTGCGTATCTGTTAATCCTTCAACTGAATAATCCTATTTATTGTAAAAACAGGATAAAAAGCTGGACAAATTAAAATTTGGGTTTAAACTTTTTGTATCTAAAGTAATATTAAAGCTTCAAAAAAAAAAAGGTCATTACCTGCCCTAATTCCAGACTTCCTAGCATGAAAAAAAAATTCAATACTTCAACAACATTCATATGTAACATCTGGCAATTGAATGTGGTAAAATTAGCTATCCTCATATTAAGCTTGATAAAATGATTTTTAACAACAAAAATGAAATTACCTCACTGGCCAAATCTAAATACTGAATTAAAAAAGCCCATACTTGAGTATTAACATCTTGTAATAAAAATTGAAATCCCTTATTTGTTATTTCTAGACCTTTCCTACAGTTTCAATCAGTATGGTTACGGATTATTAACAAAACTTTCAACTTCCTTCTTCTAAACAAATGAATATATAATGTTGATTACCCCTCCTTTTCTCTCATTAAGTTAGCTTTAGTGACAACTTTTAATACAGAGGCTCCTGGTAAACTCATTCGGTCAGTTCCGACCATAAAATGTAGAATTTCTTCCCATTTTGTCTTTGCGTGATCATCCAGTAATTTAATATCTGGTAGTTTATGTGAATTACTTTGGCTATGCCTATGTGGTTTATTATACAGTTTTCCAAAACTTTGGTGTGATCCACTTGATAAAATTATATATCGTCAGCTGTGACCCAAATTTTAATAATGCTAAAAATTTTCTATTTAATAAAATATAATTACCCTCCAGTTAAGCATTCTTGAAATCTTTGCTTAAATGAAGAATTTAAAGCTATTGTTTTATTTTCTTGTTCAATCATAATATGCAACTTCTGTAATTTGTCCAAAGCTTCTTCAAATTTCCTAATTATTTTTAATAGCGAAAACTTTATTAAATTCAACGAGTATACATAAATGGGTAAAACATAAAAAATTAGTGTACATACGACAATGATTCTTTGTCATTTTTAATCCATTGCCTTAAATCGGCTTTACTCATAATTTGAGTAGAAAATAGTAAAGACATTACCAATTGTCTCGCTAATGATGGAAGGAGTCTATTATGGCAAGTACAATCTTTGTTAGACAAGAAAATTCTATTATTATAGACATTACTAAAAAATATAAAATCGAAAATTCGTATTATTCCAATAAATATATAATCTAACACGCGTTTATTAAAAGAATCCCAAAACAGCATAATGCACTCACATTTTAACTACATGTGTCTAAAGTGAATATGAAAT